TGTTCCAATTAGATTATGAACTTCTTGAAGATTAGAACAATACTGTATTTACTACTTATTTTTTTTAATTTTTTTTTTGATTTATTGATTTATTTTGACTGTGCTGGGTCTTAGCTGTGGCACGCAGGATCTTTGTTGAGGCATGTGGGCTCTTTAGTTGCGGCACGCGAACTTCTTAGTTGTGGCATGTGGATTCTTAGTTGCGGCACGCATGTGGGATCTAGTTCCCCGACCAGGGATCGAACCCAGGACCCTGCATTGGGAGCACAGAGTCTTACACACTGGTCCACCAGGGAAGTCCCTTACCACTTATTTTTAAATCTTTCTGTAGTTTCAGCATAATAATTAGTATATAAGAGGGACTTAAATGTGTCTTGAACTGAGGAGTGATGAGTTTGTGGATTACTGACTAGGCTCTACCAGTTCAGACTGCACCAGTGCTGACCTCCTCATTGTAGGACTGGCTCTAGTGTCTTTTTACTGTCACTTTTAGGGTTAGGTAAATATGCTTTTCCTTTACCGGCTTCTGTTCATAGCTGCTGCTGGCCTGAATTTCCAAGATCTCAAATTGCTACTTGGGGCCAAGTAAACATTTCTTTTAAAATTCAGACGGATGATATTAACTTGAACCTTCTTTCATAAAAAGAGAATAAAGGTCACAACATAAACGTGTATTGTAACAACAGTGGAAAATTTCTAAATGAAATCAAAGCAGTACCTGGCATTCATTTTCACAATACCTTTCACTTGAAGAGCCAAGTACATTACGAGAACTTTATCCCAATAATCCTTAGGAGTAAGTAAAGGGACCTGACAGAATGACTGGTATAGATAGGGTCACATAGCCAGGTAGTGACAGGGTTGTTAACACCTTGCTGCCTTACCCAGTTTTTGAATAGTTAGGCCACTTCCCCTTAACAAACCATTGTTTTGATGACATAATAAAATATTTGCGCTCTAACAGGAGAAATCATATTTTCACATCATGCTAACATTAGTAAGTATGGCATGGAGAAAATTTAACCAAATTTGCCAATATGCACCTGGTTTTGAGCCTTCCAACCTCCCTCTTCTGTAATCTTGCTTCCTCTTTGTTGTCTTCCCCCTGACTGCCCTCACCTCCCTCCCTCTAATGCTAGTAAAAGACTGAAAACTCAATTACATTACAGCACTGGAACTTGATACATCAGCTCCCCTTGTACTACATGCATTTTGAAAGACAAGAGCTTAGTCCAAAGAAATTAATCATCACTTTCTGATACACAGAAAGTTTTTTTGGAGATGGAAAGCCTTCCTTCCCTGTTCCCTTAAATAATAACATGTAGATAATTACATATTCCACTTTCAGCTGCTAGAGGGAAAAGTTTGCAATGGAAGAAGGCAGAGAAAGTAATGATAAAGGAAAAAAGGATGAGGGAATCCTTTGTTTTTAAGAGGGAAAGGCAAAGAGGGTAGAACCTGATCTTTTCCACATCTGTAAACCACCATACTTGGTGGAAATTAAATGTACACTTTAAGCACTTAACCAATATTAACCAATGATGAGCCTATTTGAGGCCTCATTTTGTCAGAACAATCGTAACTAACACAGAGTAACATTTAGTAAAATGGGCTGTGTCTCCCTCCCCTCCTTTCCCTCCCCTATACACTCCATTAAGGATCTGAGCACAGAGCTAACACTGGGTTCTGCATTATGCACTCATCTCATGTGCCCTTTCATGGCTTCACACCAGTGTTCATGCTGCTTCTTGACCTGAAAACATCTTCCCTCAGTGTACTGCCTGTTGAACTTCTATTCACCCGATGAGACCCCATTCAAATGATAGCCAAGAGGCCTTCTCCCAAAGCTCTTTTACCTTGAGCAGGACCAATCCCTCCCTCCACTATACTCATCACCTTGTGTAACTAATATATATTAATAGGTCTCTCTGCTCCCCAGAATGTAAACTACTTCAAGTTAGGACCAGGTCTTACCTATCTATCTATTTATTTATATTTTCAATGCCTGACACACTTATGTATGAGGTATAATAAATGTATGATAAACATATGTACATAAACATATGTACTCCTTTAGTTTCATAAAGGAGACAAAGTTTAGACATAAGAGAGCAAGATGGTATAATGTACTGGGCTAAGAAAATTCAGGTTAGGTAACTACTCAATTCAACAAATATGAACACCCAGGAGTAAGGAATTGTGTCCCGGGATTACTAAGGTAAAATAAGGCTTCGAGGTACTCACGATCCACCTTATAGATTGTCTTTCTCTGTGTACAGCATTTCCCTGGTTTAGGTATCACCTTATGTGTTTCTCACAATAACCCTGTGAGATAGGTCATGATTTTCATTTTTACAGAGATGAGAACAGAGGGTTTGAATTCCTAGGTTTTCTGACTCTCAGACTGGAGTCTTCCTTCCCCACTACATCAGTGTTTCTCAAAATTTTCCATGGGAGTACACTTTCCCAGGGAGAACAGACTTATACTCCTCAGGGTTGAGAAATAAAAGCTCAAAATTTAGTGTATTCTCTTGAAAATTCATGTTCACTATAATGTTTTCCGCTACTTCTCACTGAGTCAAACCGAAGGTCTGAGGAATTCAGCCACATTGATTCTGGGTCCCTGAGGGACCTTAGTACAGAGTTTCATAACCAGAGGGGGGCAAACACAATTTCAGAAGCACCATGGCTACACTGCCACCTTTACTCAAGGTATCTGGGTTTGGCTTGAGTCCCCACCCACGATTTTGAATAACTTCATCAGATTTCTTTTAGGTTTCTACTGGTATAACCATATTCACCGCCCTCTCGGAAGACGGTAACAAAACACACACTCCACTCCCAGATTTTAAGTGAGCAGTTGGGGCTGACTCTTTAAAGCCTCCCTGCAAGGATGTCCATTCTGGCAATAAGATCTCTTAAGTCTGACATTATCTGCGACCCCTCTCATTGCTGGTTGAACCTAAGAGTCCCAGATGTCAACTCCCCGTGGGCCCTTGAGGGCCCACAGGCTCAACACTGCCCTCTCGTCAGCACCGCCGCTAGAGGGCAGTTCAGGGTTGCGGCTCTGCTGTGCCCTCTAGTGGCTGCTGGGATGACATGCTCTTTTATGGAACCCATAAAACACTGAAAAATTGCAGTCGGGAAGTCAGCCTGTGTGACACCCGGTAGTAAATTTTAAAAGAAACGTCTTGGTTCTCAGCTTCCTTTTCTTAAGGCGTTTGACAGTCTCGGATACATTACCCTTCTTGGATGAACCTCCTCCCTAGGGTCTCCCCCTCCCAGGGTGTGGCAACGTGGAGCCATCATTCTCTCTTGGCAAGGTAAAAAAATTAGAACCTGGGAGACTTTGCAACTTTCCCCAATGCCTTTTTACTCCCTCCATCTGCCCCATGGATATACAGCTTACATATGCATTCAAGATTTTTCAGTATAACTTCATTTTCACCAAGGCTTGTAAGCTCTGGCATTAGACTTCAGGATTCAAATCCTGGCTCCCTCATTTACTATTTGGGTCACTTTAAGAGTGTTAACCTCGCTAAGCTTCTGGTTCATCTGTAAAATAGGGAGACTAGTACTACATTATACAATTTGGGGATGACAATATATGGAAAGTGCTAGGTCGGTCTTGCACAGTAAAAAGTGCTCAGCAAACATCAGGCATTTTCATTCTTCAAAGCTTCTGTCTAGTGCACAGCACGTCTATCAATTTGGTACAGAAAAAAAGCCTGTTTTTACATAGAACATAAGGGTCCATAAGCAAAATAAGTTCATAAACAACTAATATTTTCTAAAAATGTCTAAGCGAATAGTGACCCTAGGTTATGGAAAAGGGGGCTTGTTTATGTGGCAGAGTCAGTGCGGTGGGTTTCAGGGTGCAAAGGAATCCAAAGGGCTTCGAATCCTCATGGAGGAGCTGTCTTGCACGCAGGTGTCCTTCCTCCCTCCTACTCCTCCTGCTCCCACCACGTGCAAGAACTCAGGGGGAGGCTGGGAGTGGATTCTGTGAGTCAGGCCTGAGGGCACAGTGGTGCAAAATAAAAAGGTTCCAGGCCAAGGCAGGGAACCTAGAACTCCAAAGGCCAAGAAACCCAAGCCAATCAGATTCCCCACCCAGGAGGAGTCTAAAAGGTGGCAGGGACTCACTGCCCAAAGTCCAAGCACTGCAGGAAAGTGGCCAGAGAATCTGACAGGTAGAAACCTGATAGAAACTGTCAGAAAAGTTAAAGCAGAATAGCTCATAACACCCACAGGCCCATAGAAAGGTCAGTGTGAGCTGAGCAGCTGTTCCCTCTGGTGCCAGAGGCCTTGGCTGTAGTCTTCTACACCCAGGCAGTTTAGGCCTCCCTGATCAGCCCCACCTAGAAAAGCCAATTCTTCTGCTCTTAAAGGGGACTTGCATGTTTCTGGCAGGGAGTATTACTCTTGGTGGGCAAAGCTAGCTCTTAAGGATGAGTAGCGTGGTAGGGGGCAGAGAGTACGTCCAGGGGTTCAACTGGCTCCGAAGGAAGGAGCTTGTGGCTGGAGCCTGAGCCTCCATGTTGTGAGAACTACACGCGTTTCTTTCCGAGGCAGGCAGGGGCCTTAGCTGCCAGGGACCCTGACAAGCCGCGACTTGAGCTGTGCCCGAGAGCTTGGGTTGGCTGGAGAGCGGTATAGAGGAGGAGGGAGGGCAATCCAGGAAAGGGGGTGGGGTGGGGAGGGAGGTGAGAGGAAGAGCACGAGCAAAGGCACGAAGGAAGAATGAGTCTGCGGCGCATTGAGAATGGCATGGAGACTTCACTGATTGGAGCCGGGAGTTCTTGCACGGGGATGGAGGCAGCTATGATTGGATAGCTAAAGTGGGGCCAGATTTGGAGGGCTTTGAATGCCCGACCGAGGAGCACTCAACCCAGCTCCTGCCTTGCGATTTCCGTTCAAGACTGAATGACCTAAAGGGTGGTTAATTCCAACGGGTGTTCTTCTTTGGGGGCTTCTGAAAAGTCAGCTTATGCTCTTACCTGCTTCAGTTCTCTTCCTTTACCCAAGGAGAAAGTAATCCTCACTTGCCGAGGGGAGGGAGGATAATGTTGATTGATTTCACTTTACTTGCTTGGAGGATGCAAAAAAAAAAAAAAATCCCATTTCCACGCCAAATGTTAAATTTGGTTTCTCCTCCTCCTCACGCAAGTTCTCTTTCTCTCGCCAGCACCTCCCCCCACGTTTTCCTGC